AGGCAAAGTTGATTTTGACGCAACTGAAGAATCTTGAAGGTCATGCAAATCGTATGAAAGAGGCTTATTACCCTGACTGGGATGAAGTTGCCTTGGGGCAAAAATATGAATCTTAATTCTAGGAGTGCATCTGGGAAAAGTAATTTTAACATTAACGAAGCTTTATAAGAATCTTGAGGGCCACTCGCAAAGAATGAAAGAGACTTTCTATCCCGACTGGGATGAACTATCCTTTGGGAAGAAGGACTAGACGTGAAGTTCATTGCAAACTTGCACTAAATCCGTGAACATTAATACATGTAACCCATGAAAAACTTAATAATTGTTAGCAAGTAATACTCCAGCAGAAACAAAGGAAAACAATCAAAATAAAATGTCAGAAAAAAAAGAGACTTGCTTTTTGGGGGTTTACCGTTACAGTTTCAACGTGAGAGTGGGTTATTTTTGGGCCTATTTTTGTAAGTCGCTCCACAGGGAGTCCAAGCAGTGACTTTGAACCTATAATAGTTAAAAATAAAATTTTACTTAAAAAATGGTCTACTTTTATTTTATTCAGTGTCACAATGCATTATAAATGGGATTTAAAAAATATCCCCTACCTATATATATATAGTGGCAAGGGAGGAGACTCCGCTCGAAATTCTCCTAAAAATGAGCCAAAAACGATCTAAAAAAATCCTTTTTTCGCACCGAAATTAAATCACAACGATATTTTATCTAAGACAGCACATGTAAATCAACGTTTTTTACCTTTTGGACGAGAGGCATCGATAGAAACGCTTCCGGGCAAAAAAATCCAAAAAAGTGTCCCCAAAAATATCCCAAACCCATCCGTGTCGATGTTAGTAGTAGAGCTAAACTGTTTGGTTTTCTTTAATTTCTGTTTGGAGTATATAAAACAAAAGAGTTTGGCACCCCATTATTGTACACAGGGTCTAAAGTCAGTAAATTGTCATGTAGATGTAAATAAGTGTTCCATGCCTTCACTGATCGTGTTGAAAGTTAATCTCTGTTTGTTTATCCAAGCAAATCAAAGCTGTAATTAATGATGGCCACATGTGAAGCTGGTGGATGTGAATACTGATGCATATCGAAAAAAAAAATATCGCAACTGCTCTGAAAACCTTCCTATATCTTCCGTGGGCAGTGGAGTGGAGAGGATGTAATGAAGGTATACTTTCCTTCGTTAATTCTGGGTACAAAGGTCAATCAACCTCGAGGCTGAGAAAACAAATAGACGAAGGACGATTCATTGGATCGGTGTTAATATATGATCAGTGAGCTTGAAGGATTCCATGATTGTCGGAGAAAAATAAGTGCGATATGAAACAGTATTTTGGAATGTAAATATTTCTGCATCAAAAGCTTGATAGTTGATATGCAGATGAAAAGCGTGCAAATCAGCTGCGTTACATTTGATTGCACTTCATATCCTAGTTTGAGTCTTGACATTGCTAAGATACATGCATAAATTGTATCTGTGGTCGAGGGAGGGGGGTTTGGGTCATAAGCTATTGCTATCCTCCCATGTAAATCGCCCATCATACTTCCGTTGCATCTGCAGCATGGAGATCYCAATTTCGCTTCGTTCTGCATCGTRCATAACAGGAATTSTYWTTGGGATAYTTMTTACMTTTAAACTAGTTCGTTCRAAGAAGAAAGGAACCAGGAAAGTTCCTCGAGGAACAGTTATCCTGCATCAGTTCGAACGTCCTTATCTTGGCGTTCCAAACTTGTCGCCGCCATGTATGAAGTTAGAAACCTACCTTCGCATGACAAAGATTCCCTACGAGTGCGATTACACTTTAAAATTTTCAAGCAAGGGGAAGATGCCTTGGATAGAATACAACGGSAAAGAGATTGCAGACTCRAACTTCTGTATTGAGTTTCTTAATAAGGAGTTTGGAGTMGATGTTGATGATCACCTGAGCGACGAACAGAAAGGAATTGCCAGAGCTGTTTTAGTTATGTTGGAAGAAAATACCCGCCGGTTAGAATTGCTTTTAGTATATTAGTGTTGTAAGTTATATGCATAGCACGGACCACAGAGGGAAATCCGGGGGGGGGGGGGGGGGGGGTTGTCCAGAAGGAAGCGGGAGGTGTGTTGGGGGGGGAGGATTTTTCCCTCTAATTTTATTTAGTATATGCGAGGAAGACCAATTCAACTTTTAATTTGTAGCCAACTCTATGCCGCGGGATTTTTGTGTTAGGGTTCGAAGTGTGTTGAGTTGTTCCCAATCTCTCGGTCAGGATAAATCTAAAAGGCTTCTTTCAATCAAGACTAACAAATAACTTCAAAAGCTGATAGCAAAATATATGTATGAATGTTTTATGTAAGAAAAGGTTTATTAGAAAAAACAATAATTTCTGAAAGAATACAATGAATAATATCCTGCTARAATAGTATTTCAAAACTCTGGTGAGAATTAAATATATATATAAAAAAACAATATTAGTTTTTTCATATTATCCTGTGCTCAGACCATTTTTAAAATACCGGCCGGCAATACTCCAATTTCCTCTGTGTTAGCCTCAAAACCAAGAAACACATTCTTTTATTACGTGGGCTTCCTGTGGAAGACCACGTCTAAAAATGCAACTGGACTTTTTTCTTCGTGGTCGTCGTGAATATTACGCTTCAAATTGGTAGCGCTTGCGTTGTAGATGGTCTGCAGTCTTAGAATGAAAACAAAATGGCGGACAGACGGCGGCAAAAAGTTGTCTCTTTAAATGGGTCTAAAATGTAGCAAAAATGCTCTAAAGAGCTGAGATCTTACAAAATCAACTGATTACCGTCCAAACGACATGGAATGAGGTATATAATTCAAGGTTACCGGATGATTCGTGCAGAAATGACTGGACATTTTTTCTACCGCCGAGTCGAAGTGCACCTACTCGCCACACAACAAGGGTTCATACTTTGATAGAAGAATAATCATTCGATGGACTAAAACATATCAAACCTCATCTGAAAAATAATGATGTCATTTTCTAAAGGATGTGTTTAAACTGATGCACGTGTGAATTACTTAACTCTGTATACATAATCTATATTGTGTATGAAGATTTGTTTTGGTGATATTGTTTGACAAATCCAAAAATATGAACTGTCATTAGAAGGTACACCTGTTTGATGATGGCACAGAACGCCAGATGTAAAATTATACACCAAATAAAAAGAACAGAAACACAAGATCTTACATGATTCAAACGATCMAAWTATTATTCAAAGTTATACGATACTGACAAAACTGCAAAGACTGTACCGTTTCTATTGCTTATATGAACTTTCAGATATTTTGCATATTTTGAATAATAAAGACGCTCTTAGAGCGTAAAGTCGAGCTAGTTATTTTGGAAAACTGAGAAAAACATGATATCTAAAGAAGTAATTACTTGAGTTCAGTTCGGTAAAAAATTATGATGTCATAAATAACTTATATAACTTAATTCTGTCTTGACTGATTACAAACAAAGACTGTATCGTGAAAATGAAATACCATTGTCGCAGCTACAGGAAGCCCACGTAAGCGATCCATGATCGTCTAGTTTTATTGATAGCCCGAGAGAACGCATCGAATTTGATTTAAAATCTCACACTT